AACACTGTACCATAGGCGGCGGAACGGGGAGGGCAACGGGGCACCGTGCCCCCCTTTGATTTTGGCATTTTAAAGGGACCCTCCCACCTTAACATTAGTTTTGAGTTGAGATAGCCAAGTTTGCGGCCAGGCTCAGAAACCACCATTTATCCTGGTCGCAACCCCCGCAGCTTTATGGTGTTCAAGAAATTTCTTCCCTTTACTTGCAGGGTGGGACCAGCTTGGTCCCTATCTCTTAACCATTACGGGAATCTGATGACGTCATCAGGCTTTCGAACGTCCGTTAAATGTTTGACTAAAACGTTTTGTAGCACGCGGTGGTATATGCTGCTTTGCGCGCAACAAATGCCGCACTTTCAAATAAAGTCGCTAGGAATAGCGGAGATCCCAAAAAGTAAACAAAAGTAAAAGTCTAATATCTTGAAAACCGGTGAATATTTTTCGATGAAATTTGGTAGATATTCGTTTTTGCTCTTTCTGAACCGAGCGACATCACTTTCATGCAAATTCATTAACTTTTTTGAAGGTGGGAGGGTCCCTTTAACATTAGCCCTATGGGCGTTGCATGGAAAGAATGGGACTAAAAGTCGGCACTGCCCCCTCCCTTAATTGAGGGTGTTCCGCCGCTACTGCACTGTACCTGTAGTCATGCTTGATAAAAACGCAAATTTGTAATATTCGTGAGCTTTCCAAACTTTTCTCATATCATCCATTTTCGTGATCGTGAGTCGTGACTCGGAAATGTGGTTCAGCTTTTTGAAATTGGGGGGGGGGCGAAAAAGCTCACTCTAGTCACGAAACTGCTGCAAACTTGTTTGTTGAAAAGTGTCATTATTCAACAATAAATTTTGAGATATATTACAGATAGCGTTGTGGGGCAGGTTCGTGTACACACTGCCTAGGGGCACATTCGTGCATATTTTTCTTTTTAGTTTTTGCGATTTATGACTTTATCTGTGGTAGGTTTCACTAATGACGCTCGCCTGACTCAGTCTCCGCTGCTTGCGACGTCGTGAGTGTGACACGCGACCTTGGCGAGGTCACGGAGGCCGGCAATTGGCACATTCTTGTTGGCCAGCCCATTCTTTCTACTTATGCTGTGCAATCATGCATTCTTGTCGAAAGTAATCAAGTGAAATGACCCACTGCCATTTGCCAATTTCTTTTGGTAAATTTCTGGTAATGCCCGGTAATTGCTCGAACTTTTCAGGGTGCACGAAAGTGTCCCATCCCATGCACTAATGTGCCCCATAGCCCATAGGTGGGGCAGTTTCGTGCAAACGTTCAGAGTTACTAAAAGTCATTTTTCTAATAGAAGCAATAATTTTAGAGGATAACTTTAAGGAGGAAAAATATCTGCAATAGTTCCTTTCCATACTACAATGAACAATTTTGCCGTTACACTAACCAAAGAACAGATATATGGATTTATCCTTTTTTTGCACGAATGTGCCCCACTCTCCCCTAAACACGATGGGCACGTAAGCGGATAGGGTTCAACCATTTACGCTCGATATGTGAAGCGATCTTTAGGCAAAAAATTCCGGCAAGCGGCTATCTTTCTGTTGGTAAAACTTGGCTCAGTATTATACTCTCAAAACGTATGCAAACGGCGTTCCCGTGGTATGGTATAGATCTTTGTTTGACTCGAGTGATTCGATTCGGATTGGGGAGGTGCCTGCTCTTAACTTTTATTCGTTTATGGAGGTAAATGGTTGTGACGAACGGTAAGCGGCAATTGAGGGATCATTAACAAAGCCTGAAGAAATCCCGTGAAACCATGAAAACGGTACGGACCGGCCAGGCAGCCAGCCCTCAATAGCCAGGGGCTCCACTCCAGGGAGCGATAGCGATACTTTCGAGACGCGATACTTTCAAGAAATACTATACCTGTTCATTTACATATGTGTCAAGTTTGAGGTCAGGCCACCAGAGGTCATCAGAAGTCCAATTTTCCCAATTTAGACGTTAATATCAAGGCTATATAAACGTTCATATACAAATAACCTCATGGGTATAACATCGCGTAAAAAATATTCGATACTCGATAGGCCTTTTAAATTTTGGTATTTCGCTGAAGTGTCCTCATGTTTGACACGCATGCGTCAATCAGCTTCTGACATAAACTTGCACGGTAGGTATTATGCAGTTTTCTTGAATCGTAAATCGTGTTTCTGTCGCAGCGAGACGTGTGAATTGCGCTGATAAAATTTGACCCTGTCTGTTTCATAAATCATAGACCTCTGCATAACTCACTGTATAATCGTCAATTTATCTCGGATATGTAGGTACCTATCATAAGTGGGAGCCGTTTTATGTGTTAAAGAATTAACCGTCATTCTTAAATGGTTACGAGCGAGCGAGCGCAGCGAGCGAAGCGAAGTCTTTTCAATATAACGGGAAAATCTCAGTATGAGCGGCCCGGCCCGGCCCGGCCTGTAACGCTTTTGAGAGGCTTATATCTCAGCAACCGCTGGACTGATTGGCCTGCAGTCTTTTTTGCTGGGTAGCCCCATCCCTTCTACCCCGTAATTGACTACTTTTGATACATCTCAGTGACCGCCGTGGCACGTGCCACGTGAAAAGTCAAGGGTGTTCAAGCAGTTTTGCAAAAGTAATGATTTTGAGAGGCCCATATCTCAGCAGCGGCTTGAGCGATGGTCTTGCGGTCATTTTTATAGGGTAGCTGCATCCCTTCTACCAAAGGTCGGATACTCTTCATCTATGTGAGTGACCCCCACTGCACGTGCAAAATACAACAATAAGAGGTGCCAAATTTGTTCCCATTTCAGTAACTCGGTAATTACTGGGGCGATTTCGCTGAAACTTGGCATACAGGTAGGCACCCACCAGGCAATGCATTCCCATGTGTTGCGGTTAGGGTGCTACTGCACGTGCGCACGTGCAGGGGGCGTTTCCAGATCTCGAGAACGGCTGGGCCGATTGCGCTCAAATTTGGTACACGGTTAGGGACCGGTTAGTAGGGTGCCGTGCAAAAGTCATTTTGGACCCCGTTTGCACGTGCGCACGTGCAGAATGCCGCTTTCAGATCTCAGGAACGGCTGGACCGATTGCGTTCAAATTTGGTACACCGCTAGCGACCGGTTAGAAGGGTGCTTTGCACAAGCCCGTTGGAAGTACCCTCTCGCCCTTCTGCACGTGCAGGGCTCACTATCTCGCTCGCTCGTTCTTCGCCCAAAAGGCGTTTTACTGGTATAGGTAACTTTTTACTCATTGAGCAATGCATAAAATAAATAGAAGGTACTAACTTACAGGCAAGAACATAGCTTAGTCAACAGCACAGCCGGAGAAATCCAGCTACCTATGGAAAACCATGTCGTATCGGCTGAGTTTTACTGCGCGTCACCGCATACACAAACCGGGCCATCAATCGTCAGCTTAACACTATCCGCGTCAATGACAGCCACGCGATGGATGGGGATTAGGTAAGGATTTGTTTTATTTACCCAGCATAAATCTTCCACGGTTTTGAGACGTTTCTTTAATTTGAAATTGTTTTAACGGACTTTCACTGCGTAGTGGGTAAAAATTATTATTGGTCCCGGTACTCCGACTTGTATTGAAAAGTCTTGGGGCACACATCTATGGGGCACACATAGGTTTTAAACCTATGTGTGCCCCATCGAAGACTTTTCAATACAAGTCGGAGTACCGGGACCAATAATAACTTTTACCCACTACCCAGTGAAAGTCCGTTAAAACAATTTCAAATAAGCATTTACCTGGGTATTAACTATTAAGACATGACTCTTCAGTCTCACTTAACGTTTCTTTAAGTTTTGACACGTTGCTAATGACTGCATCTGGCTCATGTAACAAAGTATATCTACCTAATAACACCACTAAATCTTGTTTCATATACCTAGTTAAGCATCTATGGCCGTCTTACAATGAAGCAAGTAAAAGGGAAGAAAAGGAAGCCAGCGTTAGTCATGTCTTTTTTTCATCACACCTATAACAAGTTAGCGAGAGTAAGTTCGCAAGCCATCAATGGACTCGGCTGAATCAAATGATACCTATGCAATATGACCTCCTTTGACCAGCTTCGTGACCTGAAATATGAATGGCTCTGACTTCACCTTGACCCGAGGTCAACAGTCAACACCTTAAGATGACCTCATCCGAATAAACAGTACCTATTATTCGACGCGCCTGCTCAAGATAAACACGATGGTGCTAAATTCACGGCTCTGTAACTATTTTTGGCGAAATGATTTACTAAAAACCGAGCCCGTGCCTTCAGGTACTTGACCTGACCTCAGAGTTCGCCGCGGTTGACCTGAGACCTTAAAATTCGGTACCAATCGCTGCGTCCCGTAACGGCGCGTACGCTCGTTTTTTCTGCAACTTATAGACTATAAGCTCGATTAGGGGCGAAACGGCGAGGGGGCGGGTCGTACCCCCGCCGCGCCTCCCACTCGGCCGGAGCGTATGTAGAAAGGCAAAAGGTCCGGTGGGGTTAATGCTTATCACGAATCATCGGTGACCTAGGGTCAAGCCAATTTTGAGACTCCCCTAAAATTCAATGAGAGAAAAATAAAAACACCTCTTTCGTATTTATCGACACCTTCATAGAGGGTGTTTCTTGAATACTGAATTGGAGAACTGCATAACTACCTACTTACGCAACCCCATGCAGTAGGATACTTACCGGCTATATTTGAGGTTAAATGATGATTCCAAAGTTAACCGATTTTCGGTGGGTAATATCATGAATAAGATAGTATCTCATCGTCCCATCCATATTCCATGGAAATCAATCTTTTAGCAGGATGATAGAGCAACGAAAACGAGATGTCCTGGAAATAATGAAGTTTTCCCAGCAGAAAAGAAATCGATAGATGATTAATTAAAAGTAATCACTTATGGAACTCACCCAAATCCCCAACCCATTCGATATAAACCGTTTACCCTTTAGGTAGGTATGATAAAACCCATCCGATTCACACCGTTCTGCGCACGGGCGACCCTTGTCCCACCTTTCAGCGCGCGCCAGGCGGGTTCTGTGCGCAGCACGGTGCGCTCCTTCTCGTAGACCTCGAGTCGTCCGAACACGACGCCGCCGAGCGCCAGGTAGACGAGGAACACGGCGGCGAGCACCAGCGTGCGCCGCGACCGCTGCCGGCGGCCAAAGTCCTCGCCCTTGGGTACCGGCACAGCCATCCTGCGCCGGCTGTTCAGACACGCTCAGCAGATCCGGCCGCCGCTAAACGATCAGCAGACGGCCGTGAGCCGTGCGGAGCTGGGATGGCCGGAAGAACCGTAGCTGCTGAGACGGGACCAGAGCTGCTGGGACTATGAGAGCAGGAGCTGGAACTGCTGGGAAGGGGTCGGAGCTGGTAAGACAGCAAGAGGAGGGACCCAAGCTGCTGGGAAAGGAATCGAAGCTCAAAGCTGCTGAGACAGTGTTGGGCCGCTGGAGACGGGATCAGAACTGAAGACAGCGGGATGATGGATCGGAGATTCTGTGGGTGAGGTGGGACAGCTGGGGCTCACTAGCAAGACCCGCTGTATGTAGCCCCGTAGAACCGAGGGCAGCTGCAGGTAAGATGAGAACACAATGAGCAACCGGTATCACGGAACACAAAGGCTTCGACCTGTGAGCATGGATCAGGAATGCGCCGTCTCTGACCGACCGAGTCTCACTTCAACAGTCACTCAACATTTCTTCACAAGTATTCCGTCCGACAAACACTCTATTGCAATATGCAGTCTTGTTTCTGCGGTTTCAATGAAAGACACTTGGTTTCGACCATCTGGAGATCGGCACTGTTCGGCAGGCACACGCAGTCAATTCTGACCGATAACGCTCAGGTTCGCTGTTCAAAAGGCACTCCGTCCTTAGGGCACCGTTTTCACCGTTAGGCACTTGGTAGTCTGTCCGAGCTCTCCGACTGTCGGAAAAGGCCTCTCACTCCAGGAAGACGCGTCCCAGATCCTTTGACAGCCAGGGCCAGTCTGTTTATCGATACGCATACGCAGAGCCCGGCCGCCGAGGACACATTCTGCAACTCGTAAAACACTGAAACGCAACCGCTCACCAGGCACCAGAGTCGTCTCACGCAGTCACTCGATAAAAACTCGCCGTCGGCCCGTGCCTCTGTCCACGCGACTGAGCGGCGGCCTCTGGACAGCAGCGGCTCGGGAGACGCCGGCCGATCGGGCCCGGCTCCGCTCAGACTCTGCGAGGTGTCGCCACTCGGCGCCGCGGTAGAGGGCCGGTCGGCGGCCCGCCGCACAGCAACCCACGGGCCCCCGGTGTCCACCACCAGCCGCGGCCGGTCCGGCCGGCCGGCCGGCCGCTGACGTCAGGACCGGCGGAGGGACGGGCGGAGCTCCACCGCCCGCCCGTCCGTCACAGACGCATACCGATACAGTAGGACGGCTCGACAGCGAGCGACGACATTCCAGCCCAGGCGTCCCTCGGGGAGTGGGTAAATGGGTGCTATTTTAAAATAAAATGGATAGCAATCACCACCAGAAATGTTGAACGGCGCTGTTTATTCGTGGCGACATGTTTTCGTTGGCTTCCGCTGTTGATCCGTTGACAGGCGCCCGTGGGCCATACCTCTGGCAGCCCCGACGGCTACCTACCGGCGAGACTCCAGACATATATCGGCCGTTCAGAGGCTCATGAGCCGCTAACAACCCGCCTGTGTCGACAGTGACCGTCCCCGGTCCCACTGACGCCAGTTAATGAACTTTACGACCGCTTCAGACACGCGATCCCCGTAATCCTGCACCTTTCTGCTTGCTGTTCAGATTGTCATGCATAATTTATTATTTTACGGCCGACTTTGAAATGTGAAGAGGATTGAGATTAAATTTGCGCTTTTCTCTGTGGTTTTAAGGGCCCCAGACGTGTGACCGGAAAAAAACTAAGCACTTAGGCGGGTCGGAACGAAAGCTGTCCCTCAGACTGGTACGGACACTGTCACACATAAAGATCTTATATATCTCTAATGGCCCAACAGACATTAGATACCAACTGTCGTAAACGGGACAGCCCTCGGTGGCTCTGCGCCTAAGGGCAAAACTGCGCGTCAAGCGCTGGGCAGCCAAGAAGCAGAAGTCAAGCACGAGCTAGAGCATCATCAGGCAGTTTCGTCGGTCGTGGAAAAAATAACATCGTGTGTTATATAACCCCATTTCCACACGAACAATACCCAAAGTGGCACTAGCATGAAAAATGCGCGTCAAATGCACGGTCGGCGAGCGAAAGCACGCCATATCGATCAGCCATTGAGAAATACCACTAAACCAGACACATGTCGCATTCTACTGTATTTGACGCACGGCCCCTGGCGCGGGGCAGTGCCAGAACAGTCGGTCCAAGTGTATAAAAGCGTTCAGACGCAGTTCACCCTTCCGAGCCAAGTAGACGAGCCCGTCGCCGGTCGAGCGGCATGGAATAACACGGCCGTGGCTCGCTCACTGCCGCGTCCAGTCACACACGGGGATGCTGCTCTCCGGTTCTCTCACTCACGAAGGAGCTGTGCCTGCGGTTGTTCAGTGAGCCACAGAGGGCGACATGGTGACAGTTACCGCTGCTGCTGCTGGCCCTCCACGGGCGCAGACAGCCCAGGCAGTCTGCTGGCGAGCGTGTCACTGTCACAACACATAGCGAGTCACAACGTCACGTCACAGCGTGTCACACTGTCACGTCACACACAGGCGTGTCATTCTCTTCGCCGGCATCCCATCCACGCTGACCAGTAGTTCATATCCTTCCGCGTCACATTTCGGGCGCTGTCACCACCAGCTTCGACAAATCACACACACTGGGCGGAGATATTCGATCAGAATCCGCACTGCCCTTCTGTCACATACACGGTCACGCTCACTCGGACATTCAAACGTCCGACGTCGCTCTTTGGCCAGTACAAAGCGGGGCGGCGGCCGATCCCACGCTCTCCACACACAGACAGGTGCCCCGGTCGCCGCGAAGGCCCGGTACTAGCGCGGAGGAGCAGTGGGTTGTCCGGTTCGACAGGCGCACAGGGCAAGCCGTAGGTTACGTCTGTGAAACGATCACCAGCAACCAGCAGAGAGCGACATTCAGTCAGGGCAGGAGAAAATGAAACATGTACGGCAGGGGTTGTCCTATCCAGCAAGTGTGGTGCCCGTAGGATATCGACGTGCACTACAAAGGACAGTGCTCTCCATGGAAGATGTCGGCCTCTAGAAATAGCAGCGCCTTTCAGGGAGGGCAGGACCCTCCGTCGAGGCTGGGGTCTTCTACAGAGGAAACGTCCCCTGTCGAGAATATCGAGCCTTCGAGCAGCGCAGACGACATACTCAAAAATAGGGCGAGACTTACTGCCGAGGGCGACACGCCAATAAAACACTCGTCATAAACATGTGGCGCACCGACACAACTTCGGAACGTTTAAAACCCTATACAAAACACTCAGCGGACCGGCATAATCTCCACCCAGTTTTACAGACACCAACAAAACGTCCACTGGGAGCGTACACTCACTGCGCGCCAGTAGCAGTATGTAAACGGCCTAATAGCTTTCGTGCAGATCACACTCAGTTTTCCGTCTCTTTCGCATACGTCGGCCCGCAATAGCGTGACCCTATGTACAGAGCAGTTTATCGTCGCTATCGTATATAAGTACCTAATTAACAATGTCAAAATAGTAATAAAGACCGCCATTTTGTGTCCGTGCGGCGCGGTCCGGAAGCGTAGGCACAGCTTCAGGGGGCGGCTGCCACCGGGCCGGTCCGGGGGTCGCTCGTCCGGCAGGGGGCACGCGGAGCGCGGGGAGGGACAATGCGCATCACAGGCGGGGTGAGACGGGGTGGCGCGATGCGAGGCGGGGGAGCGGGCGGGCGGGCCGGGCCCGGACGGCGGCGCGTATGGAGGTGTGGCTGTCAGCGCTGGTCGCTCGCGCTCCTAGTCTCTCCGTGGTGTCTCCAGTCGGTCTGGCGGAAGGCGGCGCTACTCAGCTGTTTAACGTGGCTTTGATCTGTTTGAGACGCGTCTCCACGGCCCGGAACGTGGGGCGGTCGTCAGGGTTGGCGCTCCAGGCCTGTGGGCAGAGGGCGCAGCACGGTCAGGTTGGGTCTTGACGGGCCCAAGTGGTGTGTAGTCTCTTCTTGCTGACGACCACTGTAATGGTGGACACTGCACCGCTATCAACCTATTCAACCTGCTTACCCATCACAAACTCGTATATTTTTTACATAAGGAAAAACTAAAATTAAAAGCAGGAGACACGCTGGGAGACGACCCATTCACCGCATCAGCGACGCCTGTCACGATGCAATTATTATCACAGTATGATAAATAAGGCCGAATTGAAACAACCCCTCATTGGGTACATTGATCCTGCCACTGTACAATTTTCCCTATCTACCTCTGACACAAGCACACGTCTGTCCCGCTGGGAGGTCGTGTCACCCACCTCCTTCATGATCTGGTAGACCTCAGGTGGGCACCACTCGGGCGCCTCCATGCGGTAGCCGCTGGCCACATACCGGACCACCTCAGTGAGCGGTATGCGCGGGTACGGCACCCGGCCGAACGAGTAGATCTCCCAGAGCAACACGCCGAAACTCCACATGTCCGACTTGTTGGAGAAGAATTTCTGCAGACACGGGACGAGAAGAGATCAGCGACGATTCATTGTGAAGAGCGAGACTCAGTTATCAGATTCAGTACACGAGTATCAGTACACGGCAGCGACCACAAATTATATTTTCAACCAGCCTATCGTCGAACTGACGAAGTGCATCGACGTATCTCGGATCAGAAGGGAAACGTAAACAAACTACAATAAACACAGCGACTACAGAACGAGTGCATTCACTAAGAACAGCGAATGAATCAGACGAGTTTTGCACGCCGGGTTTCCTATCGCAGTACACAGGAACCCCATCGCAGCAGTCAGCGCCTGCTCGCCACTCACGCTGTCTTTGAGAGCCTCTGGCGCCGTCCACTTGATGGGGAACTTGCCGCCCTCCTGGTTGAACTGCTCCTCCCTCGCCAGGCCGAAGTCGGAGATTTTGGCCGTCTCCGACTCGGATATGAGCACGTTCCGCGCGGCCAGGTCGCGGTGAACCAACCTTTTCGACTCCAGGTAGGCCATGCCGGCGCACGTGTCACTGCAGGACGGGGTCAGCGCTCGGGTCAGTGGTCAGTCAATGGTTCAGTGGGTAAGGATGGCCAGTCAGCGGGTCAGCCACAAGTCCACACTCACAGCACACGACTCGGCAGAGACATATTTGAAAATGAATGCGTCATGAAATACCGCTCGAAGAAAACAAACGAAAATCAAACGCAGAGGACCCTCTCCAAAATATATACGATTGTATATTTGCTAGGCAGATGCCAGCGCTGGGCGTTGGGTGCCATGTTAGCCGGCCCAGCACAACAGTCGGCCACTCACCAGGCGAATTTGATCTGGTCCAGTTTGGAGACGTGCAGCCGGCCGCGGGAGCGCAGGTACTCGAGCAGACTGCCCTTCACCATGTACTCCATCACCTGGCCAGCACACGCGGCACGGTCACGTCAAATAGTTACTATGATGATGTCACGCAAGTACCGTGACACGGTACAGCCACCTCAGCGTCACACATCGCTACAGCGAACCAGCCGTGGCAGTTAACGCCATGCATCAGTGTGCTGGACGTCTGACGGCCGTACCGCATCCCCCTAACACGCACAGAAATGTGCATCAGCTCTCCGTACACGGTGCAAAGGCGAGCAAAACATCCCGACAGCAGTGTAAATAGACACAAAGTCGACATCATTCTTGCACATCCGTGTTGGATCGGTCGCAAACGACGAGCCGAGAAACACATAACATTTAGCGCGGAGCAGTAAGAGGGCTCAACGGCCGCTGCATCGGTCAGAAATATTATGAATGAATGAATGAATGAATGAATGAATGAATGAATGAATGAATGAAAAAAATGGATAGATTGGATGAATGGCTTGAATATCAATTACTGTATGAATAAATGAATGAATGAATGAATGAATGAATGAATGAATGAATGAATAAATACACAAATAAATAAATAAATGGGCGAATAAATTAATAAATGAATAGAGGAGAGGAATGTCCTGCCATGACCAGCAGATCACCTAGTCTCCCTGTAGCTACTGTACCTAAGCAGCTAACCCCACGTGACCTCTCAACCCCTTCCGTACCTGGTAGATGACGCCCTCGTCGAACACGACACCGATCAGCTGCACCAGGTTGGGGTGCCGCAGCGAGGTCATGACGGACGCCTCGGCCAGGAACTGCTGCACCGGCCGACTGCTGTCCTTCAGCGTCTTCACGGCTACACTCTCGTGGTTCCGCAGCGTGCCCAGTCGCACGTCACCGAACTCTCCCTTCCCGAT